AAATGGGATTCTACAACATGTGGTTATTTTGTGACTCTTCTGTCCCTTAGCAAAATAATTCCAAGATCCATTCGTGTTGTAGCATGTATCAGCGCTTCATTCTTTTTTTATGGCTGAATAACATTCCATTGTGAGGCTATACCATGTTTTGTTTCATATTTTATTTCGTCAGTTGATGGACTTTGAATTATTTCCTCTTTTGGGCTATTATGAATAATGCTGCTGTGAACATCTGTGTACAAGTTTTTGTGTGAATGTGTTTTCATCTCTCTTGATACGAGCATTTACATGGACAATCCAAAAAGAAGCAACAGCTATAATCAAGAGTGTAGTAAGGTTGCCGTAGACAAGTTCAGCATACATAAACCAAAAGCCCTTTTCTTCTCTAGCAATAAGCTGGAGAATGTAAAATAAAACAAGATATTGTTTAAAATAGCAACAAAAATCTGTAGTTTTCAGATTTTACCTGACCGAGGTAAATGCCCTGGTCCTTTGTGGAATAATAATGTAGACTGTTAAGGGATATAAAATATATGAATAAGTGAAGGGATATATCATGATTTTGGAAGGAATAACTTGGTATTTGAAAGATGTTAAACCTCTTCCAGTTCATCTGTACATTTAATGCAGTTCCAGACAAGCACGCAGCAACGTTTGTGGAGAGAACTTGACAAATTAATTTCTATACTTTATATGAAAGAGTCAAGCTTCATGAATTGCTAAGACAGTTTTGCCTTGCTAGATATTAAAATGTTACAAAGCCTAGTAATTAAAATAGTGTCGTCCTGGCTTAGGAACAGTCAATAAATCAGACCAAATCAGAAAATCCAGAAATAGACCAAAGTTTATGTGAGAATCAGTAAATTATTTATGTTGTCATATATCACTTGGGGAAAGATGAATTATTTAGAAAGTGTTGAGAAAAATGAATTCAATGTAGGGAGAAAAATAAAACTGATTTCTTACTTCACACCACGTAAAAAATAAATTCCAAAGGGGTTAGATCTAAATGTGAATGGTAGTACTACGAAGTTAATAAATAAAAATCTAGAGACATAGCTCCACGTCCTTAGAGTGGAGTTCAATCTCTAAGACATCCTAAAGTGAATAAGCCAAAAGAAGAAAAATTATTGACTACATCAAATTTAAAGATTTTGGTCCAAGGAGACACAAACCATGTATCTTTCAAGAGGCCACATACATAAAAATGAACCCGTGGATGGTGGATGGGAAGTTGGGGCAGGCCCTCACTGGTCTGCTCTGCTCTTCTCAGTTGCTTCCAGACCTCGTGCATGGCCATGGACTGGTCAGTGCAGCACAGCTGTGGACAGCGTGGCCAGGCGGCACTATTGGCATAGAGAGAAATTGTGCCTGGAACCTGAACTTTAAATCTAGATTCTGCTAAGGGCACTTTTGGTAATTGTCTTACAAGGTGATTCATGCAAGAGTTTCAGGATGGTGTCGTTGGAAATACAAAAGGCTTTTTGCAATCTGGCAGGACCTCAGGCAGAATTCCATGGCCCATGGGGAACTAACAGAGATGAAAAGTTACCCCTCAACCCATGGTATCTGGTGTCCATTATTACTAATGTGTCCTTACAGATTATCACAGTAAAATACTGCTTTTCTTAGCTGTGTATGTCAGAGTGCTCATTTGTATTAAAGCCTCCATAATTTTCAGAAGGGTATACATGAAATACACTTGACCGTGTGTCTAAGCAGAGAGGAAAGTGGGGTTAAGGCTGAGTTAGGGGAAAATATTAAATGGCTTTTATAGACTGATATGTGTTCTGTAAACCAAGAAATATCAATTCTGTGCACCTAGGGTACTTAAAAATTAAAATTCTACAGTCAAAACAGTTTTCCTTTCCAATAAAATTGCACAGTGCAAAACAGATCCTATTGAATATTGTTATTCTCTAGCCTTCAAGATAAGATAATAAGATGCGGTCTTTATAGATACCTTTTATTGGTAGTCAAGGACTGATACGCTTAGTCTCTGCCCATCAAAGTTCAGTCAGGAAGACAGGAACTGTTTTTTAAGCTTTTTTTAAACAGAATAACCGCCCTAGGAAACTGCCTGACAAGGTGCTGGGGGGACTGCAGGACAAAAAAGGAGCACAGAGAAATCACTGTGGGAAGTAGCTGCCAGCCCTGGGGAGCAGAGAGAAGGGCTTGAGGTTGTGAGAACCTTGGAGCTCAGGCAAGGGGCCTCCCCTGCCCCCCTTCCCCCAGCAGAGGTGCAGACTGGGCTCTGCCCAGCTGATGCTGGTGTCTTTGATGAGGCTGGTTCTGGGAGCCCAGAAAAAAAAGCTGGAAACTCAAACCAGCTGCCACTGCTAGGATGAGGTAGAGTGGCTGAGGATTTGCTAGTTGGACAGCCATCAAACGGGAAGGAGTGCTCTTTCCCTCCTCCTGCCTCCCAGCTGCCCTCGAGTGTTTCCTTTTGGCAGAGGCTAGCCAGCTGGCAAAGGAGAAATGTGGCTTGCAGAGTACTAGGCCATCCTAGAGGTGGCTGCGGAAGGCTGGGTTACAGCTGAGATGCAGCAGCTTAAATATTGGCGTGTAGTCCAAACTTATTTTATGCCAAATAGTGAGATCATTTAATTTTAGGAAAATTTTAATACTGCTCTGCTTATATTTGGATACTAACCCCAATTGGTGTATTGAAATTTAATTCTGGCACTAGTGACCCCACAGGTGAAAGGGCATGGCCCACAGTAAGACTGTCCTCACTTCAGACCAACTGGCTACCAATCCAGGGGCTACCCACAGCACCCCTTGGGTTCTGTATTCACTAGAATGCCTCAAAGGATTCAGGAACTAGTTTTATATACAAGTACAGTTTTAGTATCAAGGATACAGCTCAGGAACAGCCAATGGAGACACGCCTAAGGAAGGCAAGGTCTGCGGGACTCACGAATGCAGAGTTTCCATTCCGTGTCCTGGAAGGACGGGATTCCTCTCTGTGGAATCAGGACACGTCATCCTCTCAGCATATTAGTGTGTTCACCAACCAGGAAGCTGCACTGAGTTTCAGTGTCCAGAGTTTCTCTTGGGGTTTCAATATGTGGAAATGGCTGATTTAATCATTAGCTACATAATTGAGCTCAGTCTCCGGCCCCTCACCCCCTCTCTGGAGGTGGGGCTAGCTTGAAGCCCCAACCTCTAATCATGTGGTTGGTCTTTCTAGTGACCAGCCCTATCCTGAGTCATCTCACCTCTTTGCATAAACTCAAGCATGGATCCCAAGGAGTTCATGAATAACAGAGACCTATTGGGAAATTCTAAGGATTTAGAGTCTCCTAGGAACTGGGGACAAAACCAGTCAAATTCTTTAGTATAAAACATCTTACACAGTGAGAAAAATGTGGTATTGTTAAATGACGCCCAAATGCATTTGAGTTCTCATTCCAAGATTTAGAAGCGTATAAAGTAATAGGAAATCAGTGCTAGAAAAGCCCTGAGAAATAGCCACTTGCCAACACTAATTAATAAACTAGTTTAGTACATTTATAAGTGAGCTTTGTCCCAAAATTTGGTCTTATTTGGAGCTTAGAAACCCATTCTTCTTCGAGAGACAATCTTACCCAATGGTTAGTTTACAAACTTTAATAGCAATAATCCAGTAGTAATAATAACTGGTGTTTCTTGAGCTGGAAATCTGCTGTATTCCAATCTAGTACCCTAGATGCTAGCAGTAGTAAGGATAATTTAAGAAGACGGGGAGCCTAAATCAAAAGCAACATTTCAAGACATTGTCTTTTTCAGAAACCTATAGAATCTTACAAGCATAAGTAGTCATTGCTTTCCTAGATAAATATTCTGAGAAAAGATGGGCGTCAGCACTGTAGTGAAAAATAAGAGGAAAAACATATTAGGAAGGTGCAAGCATTGAACAGCGAATAAACATTAAGAGAAAAACAAAAAATCTCATCCAAGGTAGGATTCAGTCTGTAGTGCTGAAATGAATTTAGGACTCAGCATAAAATAAACATGAAAATAGAAAAAGTAATGCATTTGACCCAGTTACTTAAAGGTGGTGAAAAGATAGGGCTATGTTTCAGCATGTGATCAAGGTCTAGGGTAGTAAAGATAAACTGAAGTGCACAGATGTGAACCAAGAAGGTGTGGCGTGGCGGCTTTTTTTTTTTTTTAGTATAATTTAATGGAACAAAGTAAACAAAACCTCATTTTAAAAACATTACTAATCACAAAGAGAAGATGTCAAAATAGAGAAGAAAAACTAGTACAATCATTTTTTAAAGTTTATTTGTATCACCTCATATCTGTGGGTGATTTTATTTATTCATTTGACAATCAGTTCAGTGTCCACTGTGCTGAGCAGAGAATACAGGATGAATCACATACGGTTCCTGTGCAGGGAGCGAACAGCCTAGGAGAAGAATATTTGTGTTACATGGTGGAAGCGTAATGCAGGCTCACCTTCGATGTGTGGTTGAATGCATTGTCGTCTTAAGTACTCTTGCAAGAAAGGTTCACAGCTGCATGAAACGATATGTTTAAAGAATTTAGTGAGACATGAAAATGTTGTATACAGCTTAATGAAAAATGGAAGTTCACAGAAGCAGAAAAATCCCATTATCACTTATAGCTATAAATGGAAAAGTTCTGCCATCGAGTACAGAAATGTTTCACTGTTCATTTTTTTTCTCTTAGAGCATGTATATTGTATTAAAATTGTGACTTTCACACTCCCAGGGAATGGTGGTGCGCCAGTGGTTATGACATGATGCCCTTTCTCAGTGCCTCAGGCTCCTTACCTGTAAAAAAAAAGTGGTTTCTTAGTTAACATGTAAGACTGGGTTCAAAGACGTGTGCCCTACACCTGCCCCTCATAAAGAGGATGATAAAGCCTTTTCTAGGTCCTGAATGTTTCTAGATGCGTGCAATAAAGAATAGTCAGCATATTAAAAAGAAGGGGTTACTGGAAAACTTGTTACTGGATTTTCTAACCATTATTTATTCTCACTGGCCAGGTTACCCTTTCCCTACTGCTCCTCCTGTGGATCCATTTGCCAAAATCAAAGTGGATGACTGTGGAAAAACTAAGGGATGCTTTAGGTTGGTAGATCTGCGAGCTGGATAACTGTAAAGCTAAGACATTGGTTTACTTCTCAAGGTAGTATTTACACTGCATGCAGTTCATTCTGGTCAGGGGCCGGTACCTCTTCATAGCGTCAGCAGAGATGTGGTCTATTTCCGGGGGCCTCCACAGTTTTCAGTCTTCAAGGCCTTGAGCTGTAGCAGGCCACTTGGCACTGGAGCGTTCTTCTCTGGTTCCTCAATTATGGCTGTGCTGCCATTGGCTTGGGTGTCTACTTCTAACCAGTTGGCTGTTTGAAGATGAATCACATGACACAGAATATGTCTGTGCTTATTGAGCAGGGGAGTGGGCGGGACAGGCAGTGAGAGACATGTCTAAGACCCAATTCCTTTTCAAATCGACAGTCATGACTTATGGATAGCTGTCAAGACACTAGTCATTACACATTGATTATTGTGTCTAGCTGGTTGTCTGAGATCTAGTAAGTTCCTGCCTGATTATTAATAGTATTCTATCAAGACATGATGGGCTGGAGCTAGAAGACAGTAGTGTAGACAGTGGGTCTCCTGTCTAGACAGCTCTGCTTTGTTGGAAGAGCCTCCTTCTCTTTGAGTCCTTTATTTTCTAAAACAAATTGTCCTTGAGTAAAGATTGTGATGACCACTGCACTGAATTTTTTTTTTTGGGGGTGGGGAGCTTCTACACTCAAGGTCTGTAGAGAAAAAAATTGAATATGGGAGCTTTATGTTTTCTTTGGATCCCAAGGATATTTCTAAACAATTTTTTAAAATCCAGCAATTCTGTTATTGAAGAAGATGGCCAGCAATGAATAAGTCTGCTGATTAGGGGATATTTTTGAGGAGGAAAGGAATTTGAGTGCTCTGCTGGCTTCAGGGCAACTTGCTTTCTGGCCCTCTCACCCCTCCTTTAGTTTTCCTCACCCCTCTTCAGCTGCCTCACCCCAGTTCCTGGGGTCTTGAGCTTATACCTCTTGCCAGCTGCTCAGGGTATCTGCCAGTAGAGCTGCATGTTCCCTGCCTCCCTCCTCCGTCAGCACTTAGCAGCCTTGCCTCCTGTACCTTCAGATCCCTTCCATCTGAACTTAAGAGTATCCCACCCTGTTGCTGCAATTTTCTGTCTTTCTGAAAACAGTATAAAACAGTGTTCCTTAAACTAGGGCTTGCCGATCCTTAAAGGATTCACAAGTCCTCTGTAAAAAAATTTAAATTCGTGTTTCCATTTCAGTGATGCTCCTGAAACAGATTAACGAATGCAGCATTTGATGATCTGGATAACCACCTTACAGTGCTCTATACTTCAGAGCCTGAATTTGTAATTGTATTAGCACCAGGCAGCCCAATAGAGCAAAGGCAAATTTAACAAATGATGCGTTCGCGCTTAGTGAATACCAGAGGAGGTATTCATTTGGTGCCTAGGGTCCTCCAGCAGCTCAAAGAGATAAAAGTGGAGGAGAGTGGAGTCATGTCCAGTAGTAAGAACACGCTCAAAAATAAAGACCTTGCAGAGTACAATCAGGTGTACCACATGCAGGTAAGCAGAAAGTCGCTTTCAGTAAAACGACATCATTTGTCACATGAAAGCTATGAATTTAAAAGTCCCTGGTTTTGTAGTTCAGTCCACATTTAATTTGTTCATTTCTGTTAGTTTAATTTTGGAGTGTAATTGAAAATTTGTAAGTGAAAAGAATTGGTATACATTTAATTAACAAAACTAATTTAAATGATTGACTCAGAATTTTTTTCCTCTAAAGGGGAGTCAGAAATAGTTTAGTAATAATTAATATTTGAGGCATTCTAATACGATGTAGAGGACCCTAGGGTTGGAGGCCCAGGTTCAGTCCTGTTGCAGCTTGGCTCACTATGAAGTTCCCTTCCTATCTCTGGACCTCAGTTTGTTTGTAGACAGAGGAGCAGATCATCACCAAGGTCTCTCCCGAGTGTGAAATTGTGGTTTTGAGATCCCAGGTAGCAAAGATCTAATTTATGTCTTAATATGGCTTAGCATCCTGCCTGATTCGTAGATGCTCTCTTCATGTATCTTGAATAAGTAGAGGAGGAAGCAGTAATACCTGTTTTGATGTATCCTGTAGATACGGCAAACCGGGCTGTAATGCGGAGACCTGTGACTACTTCCTCAGCTACCGGATGATAGGGGCTGATGTGGAATTTGAGCTGAGCGCAGACACGGATGGCTGGGTGGCAGTTGGCTTCTCTTCAGACAAGAAAATGGTAAGACGCAAATCACGATGGAAACTGATTATTCATTTCAGTTTGTTGTGCTGCTTTAGATTTTAGAGAGTGGGCGTGATTATGCTTCTCTTAAGATACCATGCCACTTTTAAACGTGAGAATCCAATTTCTGGCATTTGATTTTCTTTTTCAAAGCAAAGCCAATAAATGGATCAAAGAATTATAACAATTATATTTGTTAGGGCTCTCTAATTACAAGTTAAAAAAATTCAGACTAGCTCAAATGGAGAGGGAAGAGTTGGTTATGAGGAATACAAGGTGTCCCATGATACCTATATTCATTAGTTATTTCCACAGTAATGCTGCAAGAGAGCCTCCAAAACTACATGGCTCATAATAGAAAGCATTTATTTGCTGCTCATCTGTGTGTGGATTGGCTGGGACTCAGCTGGGCTTGGCTCCAATTCATGGGTTGGATTCAGGCTTTCTCTAACTATTCGGGAACCAGTAGCGACCAAGGCATGTTCTTTCCATGGCAGAGGCAGAAGTGCAAGGGCCATCCAAGCTTATTTCAAAACCATGCTCATATATCACATCTGCTAAAAGTGCATTCCCCAAAGTAAGTCATGCAGCCAAGCCCAGAATGAGGGCAGGAAAGTCACTCCCTCTACCAGTAGATGTGGATATAGAATGCAGCAACAGGGGAGGAGAGAGTTGGGGCCAACAGTTCAGTCTGCCACAGTACGTGTGGGCAAGGACACATCTGGACCTCAGAAAGGACTGTGACCAGGAATAGGCAGGGCTTCAGGAGCCTGGGTAGCTGTCCATCCCTTGTCTCTGCTTCTCTCTATGCCTCTGGTGCATTCTTCCCTCTTTCCTCCAGAGCCCCATCACTTGCCATTCAGTGTGCCAGGGCGCTTCCCACACAGCCAGGTATTCGTAGGCCTCTCTGTACCTTTGCTTGTGCCACTGCTCTGTCCAGACAATGCTTTTTCTCTTCACCTGGTCTGAGTCTTTTCCAATGAGAGGAGGGCAGCTCAGCCAGGGTTCCAGCAGCAGGAGTGGTAGGAAGGGCTCAGATTTGGGATGTGTTTTGAAGGTAACGCTGGCAGGCTTTGCTAGTGGACTGGACATGGGTTGCAGGTGGGTTGCATATGAGACGGGGGATCAGGCTAAGCAGTCAAAGTGCCAGTGGATTTCTTGGAGAAGCCACCAGGAGAATGAGCTGCTCAGTCCAGGCGATAAGACAATGGGTCCAACTGGTAAGACTGCATGGATACGAAGCTCTGTCACTTATCTCCTACTTCACGGTCAATAGGCAAAACCACAGGTGTGTGCCATCCCAGAAGCTGGCTGGCTGCGCAGTTGACCATTTCTTGTCCTGGAATGCATTTGCACTTAACGGTGCAGCTGTTAACATTACAAGGCTCAGACAAGGGAGGTTGAGTGAGAATTATTCAAATTTTGTGTTTGACATTTTGCTGTCTAAAGGCCTTTAAAATATAGGTCTCTCTTTTCTCTTCCTTTTTTTTTTTTTTGGAAGGGGAGGGTACTTAGGTTCATTTATTTATTCATTTTTAGAGGCAGTCCTGGGGATTGAGCCCAGGACCCTGTGCATGCTGAACACGTGCTCTGCCACTTGAGCTATATACCCTCACCAGTCCCCTATTATTCCAAGAAGAAGCACAGATTTAAAAAATTTCAAAACCTGATGCAGAGGAGAAGCAAAATGGAACCCCTTTTTAGTAGCCATTAACTTTTTTGGAAATGGTGCATTACTGTTTTCTCTATTAGATTGCATTTTTTAGAGCAGTTTGAGGTTCACAGCTAAGTTAAATAGAAAATTTCCATATACCCTGTCCCCATGCATGCAGTGCCTCCCCCATTATCAACATTCCTCACAGAGAGGCACATTTGTTATAAGTAATGAATACCTCGAACTTCAAAAATTTTTATTCAAAAAATGTTAAACCTACAGACAAGCTGCAAGGATAGTACCATAAACTCCTATATATATATGTTTCACCTAGATTCACCAAAGGATAACTTTTCGATTGTGATAAGACATCCATAGTAAATAAAAGTTACTCTTTTAATCATTTTAAAGTATACAGTTCAGTGGCAGCAATTACACTCATGGTGTGGAACCATCACCACTGTCTGCTCCCTGTACTCTGACTGCTATTACTTCCTATTTCTATTATTTTTTTTGCAAACTCTGGAGGTTAAATTGAAGTTATCATGACCCTTTAACCCTAAGCATTTAAATGGCTATTTCCTAAGATCAAGGACATTCTTTTTCATTATGTAATGTATTAAATTTAGGAAGTTTAAAACAGGTATGATAGTATTATCAAATACACTGTGTTCCAGTACTGTCCTTTATGGAAATTTTTATTTTATGCCTCAGGATTCTGTGTAGAACACCATTAGTTATCTTGTATCTTTAGCCTTCTTTATTTTGAAATAGTTTCTTAGGTTTTCTTTCCTTCTTTCTTTCTTTCTTTTTTTTTTTTTTTTTTTTGGTTCTTTCATGACATTGACTGCTTTTGAAGATTACAGAGCAGTGTGTTTGGATTTGTCTGATCGATTGCTCATGGTTAGGTTAGTGAATGTGTTTTCAGCAGGACTGCTAGAGAGCTGGTGACATATTCTCTGAACAGGACATCAAGAGGCACTGGATGTCAGCTATTGTGCTGCAAACTCTGGTCATTTGGTTAAAGCTTTTTAATGCAAACTTTGTAAAAATGGTATTTAAGATAATTCGGGAGGTGGGACTTCAAATTATGGTAATTTGGTAAGGTAATAGAATGTGTATTTCTGAGTGAAATTTCTTCCTAGCAGAAAAGCTTGCTGAAGACGCACCCTTGACTTTTCTCTTCATCGTCTCTTGTGTTAGGGTGGTGACGATGTCATGGCCTGTGTCCATGACGACAACGGCAGGGTCCGCATACAGCACTTCTATAACGTAGGCCAGTGGGCAAAGGAGATCCAGAGAAATCCTGCCAGAGATGAAGAAGGAGTTTTTGAGAACAATCGGGTCACATGCAGATTTAAACGCCCTGTGAACGTGCCCAGAGATGAAACGATTGTTGATCTGCATTTGAGTTGGTATTATCTGTTTGCTTGGGGTCCAGCCATCCAGGGTAAGCTTACATTTTGGCATCTGGATTAAACACCAGACACCGCTGTGCTTGTGGTCATTATTTACTGGACAAAAGAGAGATAAGCACTTTGGATAATATAAAAAAAAGGAGATATGATCCTGCCTTTGGAATATTATAATGGACTTATACACATGAACACGGAAGGGGACAAGCTACACACATGCGTAGCTAGAGCAAGATGTACAAGATAGCATATGATGAGCTATGTGCTTAATGAAACAGATCATGATCTGCTATTTATGGTGTATGGGTTCTATTTAATTCTCACAGTGGTCTCATTTACTCCTCACCATGTCCTTGAGAAGTGTGGGAATTACCATCCTCGTTTTAGAGTGATCAGGGAACTACTCGAGGCTATATAGCTAATTAATGGAAGAACTAAAATTCAGACCTAGATCTGTTTGACTCCAAAGTCAGTGAGTACACTTAACTCCTCTGCTCTAAATACAAAAACACTGAATAGGAAAGGACCTCTGGAGACTTCTCCAGAGACTGACACGAAGGGTTTCATTAGTGCTCACATGATTAATCTGATGGTCATAAATCCACCCAATTATCCTACTATTTACCCTGTTAAGCCTCAAATTTTCATCTGTATAGGGATTTCCTGACCATATTGTTAAAATGCAGTTTTCAGTAGGTCTGGGGTAGGGCCTGAGATTCTGCATTTCTGACAAGTTGGTCCATTGATGACCTCACTTTGGGTGGCAAACCTCTTCAGGATTTCCCCCAACAAAGACCCAAGGATATCACGAGACCTTTGAGAGGCTGCTAAAATCAAGCTACACTGTGTCTACACCATTTCTCTTGGTTCATCAGCCTAATGGCTTGCCCAGGGATGGAAGTGAGTGATTCTCAGTCCTTGTATGGGAACTCATTCTGGGAATTGCATCTTCCTCATCAACTGTCTATTGCCTTATCTGATCTGTTTTTTTTTCCCCCTTTCAAATTGTTTCCCATGATCAGTCTGGAGATTTCATACCTTTTTTGGTCTGTTTCTTACTGGAAAAACATTTAGATGCCACCAGATTTGTGGCACCATTTCCATTTGCTTATTTCCCAGGTTAGTGACAATGGATCTACAATTACATCTTTGAGTACTTTCAGTGCCTTGGGAAATAAACTATATCTCAGGCTAGAGAAATGAACTCATTTTAAATGATGGGATTTGGAGTCTTAAACTCTAGGTTTGAGTGTTGGTTCTGCCCCTTGGTAGCTGTATCCAGCCTTTATCAAAATTCTGAACAATTTCTTTATGTCTAAGGTGGGGATAATAATAATAATACTGACTTCATAGGACTGTTGTAAGGATTAAATGAAAACGAGAATTTGAAATTGCTTTACAAATTGGAAAGTGTTGCACCTCAGAAGGTCATCTTCTTACATCGATGGCATAATAGCCTAACATTCCAAGCCCTCTGATCCCACTTTGCCTGATAAGCCCTCTCAGGCTTCTGTTGTTCTTCTGTCTCCAAATGAAACAGGTACATTCCTACCCGCATTCGATCTCATGCTTTTTCTGTCTCGTGAAGACTGTCTCTAACAATAGTGATCAAACCCTATCCATCCTCTTAAAGTCTCTCAAAGGAGATGAACCTTGATCTGAGGCTTGACGGGGAGGGTATGGGATTAGATTTCTTGTGAGGAAGATGTGAACTGGAGGTAGGTCATGGTTAAGCCTAGAAGTCCATACAGGTGACCAATGAGCAAAGTTAGGGAGGAGACGGGTTAGGGATCTATTGAGAGAAAAACTCATTGCAGCCTGAGGAGTCTGAGTTGTGCTCACCGGAGCCAGCACAGACATTGGAGCAAGGACTTGACATGTTAAGTTTGGCATGGCTTCCCTAGCAGATAGTGCCCTAAAAGCATCCTTTGCACACAGCCTTTCCCTCTTTCCTCTTCTAACCAGGACAGAAAAAGTTTCCTGTTCAAAGACTTGTTTGGTGTCTTAATCTTCTTATTTTCTGTAGCATTCCACACCACTCTACCAGACAGACATGCAGACATGCAGACATGCAGACACACAGCACACCACACCCTGTCTGGTCTGTCCTGGGCAGGCTACCACTTTATGTCCCATCTATAAGGGAGTCTCGTGGTCAGGAGCTGTTAATGATCCATATATAAAAAAATGTATTTGCAAGAGAAGAATAGTAGCTCTTGCACTTTGAAATTTTGTTTAGTTTCCTTGTTGTTTGCATGTATCATTTTAAATCTGTACCTTTTTCCTGCTGTTGCTTCCTTTTTGTTTCTTTCTTCTTAAAGGCTCTATCACCCGACATGATATAGACTCACCACCGACTTCAGAGCGTGTTGTCAGTATTTACAAGTATGAAGACATTTTTATGCCATCAGCTGCCTATCAGACCTTCTCCTCTCCGTTCTGTCTGCTTCTCATTGTTGCTCTGACCTTCTACTTACTGATGGGAACTCCTTAACCACAGCTGCAAAGCCAACAGAGGCAATGCACTAGGAAGTCTTTAGTGTATTTTTTAAAAACATGCAGTATAATTTTGGCTTCTGTTACATTTAAAAAAAAGACTCCTAATTTCAGCTTTTTGGGAGAAAGAGCAAGCTTATTTTCTAATTGAAGAGGATTGTTTAATAATGACCCTTTTGGAAAGTACTTAAAGCTTTTCTAAGCACTTTAAAATATGGTTTTCTTATTTGAGCTTCACAACATCAGTGAATTGGCTTGGTGAAAATATTATTGCCGTTTTACTGAATGGGATTTGAGACCCAGGAGGGCCCCTTTTAGTGACTTTCATTACATGTAGTCTTGGCTACTTGGTCAGATAACACATAGCAAGGTAGAGAAAGCTAGGCATAGACATCATGTGTCTAAACAGCCTTTACTCTTCTAACTACAGCTCAAGAGAGTTACTTGGAGTAATGCTAAGGAGAGGTTGACTGGATGGCCCAAGTTCACAGTCAGCCTTTCAAGCAGAAGAACTTTTCAAATTTCTTTAAAGCGTGAAGGGTTTTGGATATTTACACAGCTAATGAGAAGAATGATGATGAGATGACAATGATACAAAAATGGTTCATATTTATTTGAAATGTCTTCTTGATTAGTAAGTAGCTAAGAGAGAACATTTTTTATTGCTGTTTGGAAACGTTAGAAACGGAACTGTGAATGTTCCCGAAGACATAAAATCATATTAATGGTAAAAAATATGGGCATTCTTAGCAGTTAGAATTTGGACTCTTCTACCACTGTATTTAATAAATTAAGGTATTCATTTGTGGTTAGAGCTAATTCTGTTGTCAGAGTCAACATATACTGAGTATGATTAAGTATGTATTACAATAGACTAATAAAATTCAAGACATTTTGATAATAGATCAACATTTTTGGAGACTGGAAATTTGGAGTAGAAACGTCTTCAAGATGACATGGCTTTTTTTTTTTTTTTTTTTTTTTTTTTTTAGAAATTAGAAAATAGGAAATGACCCATCAAGTGAATTTACCTAGAGTGTCCATTCACACATTCAGACTTATAAATTGGACTGACAGCAAAATTTATAATAATGTCATAATGCATTTCCTTTTTTTCGAAGGAACCCAAATGGTCCTTTGTTTCAACTGTCTTAGTTAACAGCCCACTTAGAGGAGGAGTCTCTGGGCGGACTTACACGGCTGAGGCATTTCCATGGTAGAGTTCTGGAGTCTTCAGGCTTGACGCTGTTGCTCTAAAGCCGGCTCCAACTTTGTGGTTCTTGTGATTAAACAACACTGGGGACTGTGATTTCTAATGCCATCGTTGGAATCCGTGTCAGAGGCGAAAGGCCACCCGCGGGGAGAGCTTTCAAATTTTTCTGGAACTGAACAAAAACAAGGAAAGTGTCAAGATTCTGTGACCTTGCACAGGTTACCATGTGCATCTGAGGGATGTAGGAGAAACAACCCTCACTGCAGATGGAGAGAGGTTAAATGACATCAAGTGAGTGATGCAATGGTTAGAACTCGAACTCAGGTCATCTGAGTCAAGTTCCTGGCTCTACCTGACTGCCAACACCTCATAACCAAGCCCTCCAGCCGTGGCTGAGGATGGCCCGCGCATCACCTTCTAAGCTGTAGTGATTGTTTAGTAGTGAAGACACCGAGTATACAGGCATCCACGTTGTAAATAAGAAAGCAAATATTTTTATATTTCACTCTTTTATGTGTATGATATTTCAGCTATAAATAGGTTTAAAACTAAAGCAAGACGAGCTAGGCTCTGTAGCAGACAGGAAAGAAATAGATGAAGGGATTTTCCTTCTGCTTACATTTCAAGTCAAGCTGATTGTTTCATGAATTGTTTCTACTTGGATTAGCAGTTTTGCATATTAGTGCTTAGAAATTTCAATGACTTCTCGTTTCCATTGATGTAAAAGGCAAACGCTTTGATTACCTCCACTGTCATCTCTCCTCCTTTGCTATGTCCCTGCAAGATTGAATTGCTCTCAGGTCTTCAGGTCTGCTTTCTCACCTCTCAGGACGGCCCCTTGCCCAAACATTCTCCACTAGCTGTGCTTGCTGAACTCCTGTGCATTTTCCAGGTCATAGCATAAATATTTCTTCCCCTGATCCCCTGGACTAAGTGGGTTTAGGTTCCTGCCAAGTGCTCCCATAGCATACTGGGCTTCCCAGTATCCTGGCATTCTATTATTCATCACATTTTCCTGTAATGGCTGGCTCGTCCTCCCTGCTAACCCCCTAATGCAGGGACCATTTCTTGTTACTCACTGTAACAGATGCCACTACATAGTAGATACTCCGCAAACATTTGTTGAATGAATACATAAATGAAACTATACTTCTATGGCAAGTTTGTTTGGCTCAGAAAGCTCGTATTTCATATACATTGCCAGACTGGCCAACATTTTTATATTTTTCTACCTGTGATCAGACCATAAATCATTCCTTTAGCAAACACTGAACTTCTGTCTTTTGAAACGTAAATCGAAAGATCTTTAGTAACAATGCTGTTTTGCCCTGTAAAACACGGTTGACATTTTTAATAATAATTATTGTTCAGAAATGAGAATTCAAAGACCAGGATGTAGACAAGCATTTAACCAGTGTCTCAGAGGATCATCAATTTGTAGACATACTGAAGTTAAAACTCTGTAGACTCCAATTTCATTCAATCTCTCCTAATATAGGAGAATCAACTTCTATTTAGTCTCTGTATTCCATTTTCTAACATAGTACTTGTTACAGGGGAGATACTCAACCAGTGTTTTTTTTTTAATGCCTAAGTAGAATAATAATGCTAGCTAAATGTATTTAGTGCTGTTCTAAGCATTTTATGTGGATTAACTCATTTAATCCTTATAACAACCATAGGAAGTACATTGTATTATTAGTCCAATTTTACAGGTGGAAAAACTGAGGCTAAGCATTTGGCATAAATTGCCAGTGCTGGCAAGGACTTTAGACACCACTTTATCCAATGTACTTATTTTAAAAAGGGGCAGTTGAGACCTAGGGAGGTGATGTGATTTCCATCATGCACATTCATTAAAACTTTTATTAAATGGAACCCACTATCCACACTTAAATCAGCCAAGTGCTCCCCTACCCCTTTTAGCAATTTACAATGAATAGGAGGACTTTTTATAGATATATTTGGGAAAAGGAATGCGTTTTACTTTCTCTCAGCCTTTTCTCTTCTTAAAAACATTTTGATTATTTTACCAGTCATTTTAGTGCTTTAATTTTTTTTTAAAGTAATACACAGGTTGGACAAGACTAAAGTGTATTTGTCTTGGTTAACTTTTAAAAGTGACTTACCTAAAACCCAGGTCTTCTAACTTGGAATACTGTGCCCTTCCCTTGCTCTGCTGTAGTCTCAAAGATGAATTTGTTACATGATTTCAGACAAAATACAGGAGCCATATTTAACTATCTTAATTTGGCTTTTTTCATTAAGGAAATCAGCAAGTTTGGACAGCTCAGGGATGGGTTTCCATCCCACATAGTTTTTACTTAATTCTGTAATTAAGTTTGCAGTCTGTATTCACCATTTTGTGCTTAAGAGGTATTACCACTGAGGTTGTGTGTCATTCTTACTTCTAACCTACGGGTCAGCAAGGTTTTTCTGTAAAGGGCCAGATGGTAAATATTTCAGGCTTTGCGGTCTCTTCCAGCAGTTCAACTCTGTCGCAGACAATGCATAAACCAATGAGCACGGTTGTATTCCAGTAAAGCTTAAATGACACTGAAGTTTGAATTTTATGTAAGTATTACATGTCACAAATATTCTTTAGATTAAAAGGAAATTTTTTAATGTGAAAACCATTCTTAGCTTGCAGACCATACAAAAAGAGGCAGCAGGTTGGGTCTGGCCTGTGGACGGTGGTTTTCCCACTCTTGCTCTCAGCGGAGAGACACACCCAGGTGTCATGAGCAATTGTGAAGGACACTGCCAGTAGTGTATTACTGGTTGATTGTAAAAATATCGACGTTAGTGAGTAATTTGTTTGTAAAATAAATTATAGTTGATTGATTGTTATCTTGATGGTACATTCCCATTAGAACTTGTATTCTAAAAAACTTTCCAGAGTGTGAAAGAGGTGGCAGTAACGTCAGAGCTGGGTAAGCAGTAGTTCTACTTTACCTAAGCTGTGGCAGTCAGGAGCGACTTTTACTGTTCAGCTCTTTCCATGGAGGGGATTACAGTTGACCCTTGAACTCACAAGGGGTTAGGGGCACTGACCCTCTAGGCAGTGGAATATCCACCTATAATTTATAGTAAGCCCTTCATAACCTGCGGTTCCTCCACATCTGGGGTTCTTCCTACCCAAGGATTAGGTCCCACATCCAAGGATTCAGCCAACCTTGCATCGTGTAATACTGTAGTATTTACTATTGAAAAAAATCCATGTATAAGTGGACTTGTGCATTTCAAACCTGTGTTGTTCAAGGATCACCTGTACAGTGTTTCAGACTAATTTGTTTTCCTCTAGACAGTTTTGAAGGGTTATCTAAATCTGTTCCATCCACCGGATGTGAGTGTTTTCTACATGTGACTGTAGCATCACCTTGTATATCATGATGAAAACTGCAATAGGCCAAATGCTGAGATGTGTATACTTCGCTGTACATAATTGTGTTGTATGTCCTTGTTCTCTCAACAGAATTGGTTATGTTTAGTGAACAGTCTGATTATTCTTGGTGTGTTTGTATATATATATTTGTACATACATGGTGAGGTCTGTATGTATTTATACATAAATGCCTATAAATACACATACCATGACCATTTGGAGGTCTTTGTCAGGATCATTTCTATTTCTGATCTCTTAAATACTTTAAACCCCAAGAGATAAAACATTGTGTGTATTACAGGCAAAACTACCCTCAAGTTTATAGTAATTTAGTTTGTAGAGAGGATTCCTGGATCCTTTATTAAGCCTTGCCTCCTCTATTCAACATTATATGACTTGTTAAGAACATGTAAATTATCACAGTTGGGTGTGACTTTTTTATACCGTTAGTTAAGAAACTAAGACTAGTGTTAACTGGGTAAATGGCATGTTGATGCAACCTATCCATGTTGTATATTGTGTTAGATTCTTTATTCAGTAATTCAGTTGTTTAGTTTCAAGTTGGACTTGGTTGTTTTTATATTTAATAGATGACCTGAGAATAAGTTCCTTTTCATGAAAATAGTTACTATTAATGTGATTTTAAATATGACTAAAAATTTAAGTGAGTCATCAGGCTCTTGGGTTTTTTCACTAAACTATACTGATATTTGACTGATGTTTTCCATTCACCCCTGGATATTGGCTATTCGGCAGATAGCTGTTCTGTCCATTTGTCTGGAGAGCAGTCGATTCTTTAGGGTTACGGGGTGCTGTGGTGGTTGTGGCATTCACCCAGATCACTAAAGCTGTTAACCATTTCATCAGACAGAATGTCCTGGCCGCCTGGAAGAGCAAATGCAGCTTCTCCACATGCCTTATTCCCCCAGACGCGCTGATATGCTGGAACAATCTGGCTCCAGGAGTATTAATACACTTTTTTTGAGACTGTCTATAAAATACTATTTTGTAAGAACTATGCCTTTAAACAGACATTGATGGGTTATATTTGTTTTATAATAATTGTGTACCTAATGTTCGATTATGATTGATTTTGAGATTTATGTATATTTATAAGCCCGTCCTGTGTGAATTTTTACTCCAAGGTGTGTGGTACTTTCCTAATAAAGACAAGGATTTCTATTTATGTAAAGTAATTGTAGCAATATTCCTAGATGCTGCCTAAATGGTTGTTCTACCCATCTGCCATCACAAATACTTCTATCGTTAGGGGATTATGTTACAGTTAGAATATATTAACTAGATTTAAACCTTAAAATATAAATTCTCAACATGGTTTGAAATTCTTCCTGTTGATGTAAATAAAGTTTATAATTCCTTCTTGCTTTGCTCTGGTGCATTTTTGGTTTTCTGTTTGCTTTACATCCTTTTATGAGTAAAGTCTCCCTGAAGTTATAAACCTTGGAGACAATGACAGCCTGACATTCTGACAAACAAGGAAATCAAGTTGCAGTAGTCAGGTAAAAATCCTCGCAGAGAAACAATCTGCAAAATACATCTGTATTTATAGCATCAGCTTTATACCTTTGTCAGGTAGTGAATGGAGGCCTATAATCCCATTTAAAGTGTATTAGTTGACTAATTGTGCATAGGCTAGCTCTAAGAATTTCAGTTATGAGCCTTATTGGTAACTAAATCATTTTATATGTTAAGATTAGTTAGAGTTTAGTTGTAAAGCCTTATGAATCATCAGGGTGGTATGGAAATTGCAGAATGCAGTAGCTGAGCTGGTTGAGAAACTGGGGTGAGGTTGAGAAATTCAAGGAATGTCATTTTAAGAAAGCATTAGGTATTACGACATTCTGCATTGTAGACCGTAATTCTCACCCCACCTCCCCAAATATTTTGTTACTCTTTGGTATCCTAGGTGTTTGCTATGGTATTTATTTTGCAGTATTCTCAGTGGGTGGCCCAGCTATCAGACTTGACCCTGGCTGATGTTTGACCTGGAAAATTCTTAGGATTCAGTCCGAGGTGCAAGGGCCAGGGGATAAGCTGTAAGAAGAGGCCGTTGAAGTAGATTGGACATGAAAGTCACCTGCACCCAGTAAGTCAAGAAGCTTAAACACTTGTTTCATTCATTCAATAAATGTTTTTATTGAGGGCTCCTATGAGCCAATCTCTAAGCTAGACACTATACATGGAGGCCTCTAGGAAGAACAGTTCTTGATTTCTGTCCCTAAGAGGCTCACATTTACTCGGGGAGTCAGATACATAAGTATCCTGAAATTGCCTTTTGGTGACTGCAAACATAAGGAAATGCGAAGGCGTGGTGCAAACCCGGAGTAAGGATCCTCACTCAGCCTGGGGCAACCAGGAAAGCAGGTGGTGGTACTGAGGTTGAATCTTAAAGAGGAAGTAGGCATAAAGCAGGCAAAGGATATGGAGAGGCGTCTCCAAGTAAGGGGCGAGCAGTCCCAGCAGAAAGACCAGCAGGGTGTATTTGGGAACCACTGTCATTTGACAAAGTTTGTGTTAGTTTCCTATTGCTGCTGTAACAAATTACCATAAATTTAGTGGCTCAAAATAACAGAAATGTATTCTCTTGTAGTTCTGGAGGCTAGAGGTCTGAACTGAATTGTATGAAGCTAAAATCAAGGTGTTGACAGGGCTGGTTTCTTCTGGGAACTCCAGGGGAGAGGAGCCTTCCTTGGCTCTTCCAGCTTCTGGTGGCTGTGGGTAATTCTCGGCCCATGGCCGCGTGACTCCGACGTCTGCCCCTGTAGTCAGAGTGCTCAGATGGCTTCTCCTCTTCTGTAGTCTAACCTCCCTCTGATGAAGATACATGTGATCACATTTAGGCTCCACCCATATAATCCAGGATCCCTATCTCAAAACCCTTAACTTAATCATATTTGCCTAGTACACATAAAGTAACACACTTCGCAGGTTCTAGGGATTAGGACCTGGGTATCTTTGGGGTTCACCCAGTGCTGGAGGAAAAGAATGGGGCAGGGAATGGGTAGAGGTCATGCTGGGTGTGTGTGGCCCCATCACAGAGACCTTGGAAGTGGGAGTAAAGAGCTCAGACACCTTCTCATGGGGTAAGGAGGATTTGAAGGGATCAGATAATATTTTAGAAAGATTACACTGGCTGCAGTGTAGAGAATTGACTGGAGTGGAGCAAGAGGGCAGACAGAGGGACCAGCTAGAGGCTGCAGTGACATCAGTGTGGTACCAAGAGTGTACAAACAAGTAATACTTAGGATTCAAACCCAGCAGGACTTGATTCTCAAATAAAGATAGTTTATTTGTAAATAAAAAGGGATTCGTCTGGCCAATTTGAAATGCATCCACCATCTCCTGGTTTTCAATCTTGCTCTGATTTGCAGCAGAAGGCTGGTTGTTTATACACTGGGTGGCCTCAGCTTTAGTTGGATTGGATTGTTGGGAGTAGAGCCAAGGAAGGGGTGGGCTAGGAATTCCAAAACCTGATCCCTAGCTCTCACATTTCACCTGTTCCATATAAAATCACTTCTGTGAAGATGAGGGACTACCAGCAAAGGACACTTAGGGCCAGCCACTTTCTGGACAGGCAGTTTTGGCTTCCAGTAATAATTGTTAGTCACACAATTCACCTTGCAGAATCCAATCCTTCCTACCAAACCTCCTCCCACCCTAGAAGAGGAGGGGGGAGATATTTTGGTTGCCAGACTTTCTGGGAAAAAAAAGTTTTTTTTAGTGTTCCCCT